CTGGGCACCTTGTGTAAAATCCTTTTGTCAGTCTCATTTATGGTAGATGTAAGACATGCAGTGTAACACTCTCATGAAACATATGAAATGCAGAAACTTTGATACATCTCAACTACAGACATGGATAATCTCCTGCATAAACCACCTATGTGTTGAGCTAAATAGGAGGTTAAATGCAGGGAAAGAAGGGACTGCTCCCAGACCGCCAGTGAAGTGGAAGGCCCCAGGCCACGGTTTTTATTAGTCTATTTTCCCCGCCGGGGGAAATTAAACCCTGAATGGTTTCCAAGAATCAATCTAATGGGCAGGGGAGGGGGCGTGCGTTAGCGCTCCCTCCTCCACACGCGGTCCGCGGATCAAGCCGGTCGTGGCAGGTGGCCACGTGCAGAAGCACCCGTTGGCGGGTAGTGCGCTCGATCGCGAGCACCCCAGGACCGGAGGAGGAGACACACACCGGACCGCTGGAGAAGTACTCCGCAGTCCCGGGGCTCAAGGGGATCGGAGGAGGCAGAACAGGCTGGCCTCCTGAAACCCTCGAGCAGCACAATCCCATGAGGTCGGAGAAATGGGAGGTAAAGTGTAGTGAAGAAAAAAGAGGGGACAGATAGAGGGGAAGAACCCCAGGAGGATATTAATAGATGTAGTGGAAACAAAACTCCCCACAACCCCAGAGGGAATAAGGCAGAGAGCCTAACCACTAATACAAGGCAAAGTCCCCAAACTTAATAAAGTCAAAAGTGTAAATATAATAAAATCACACAGCCACCAAATAATATAAGCAGGAGGCAGTTGTACTCTGACCTGTACTGATGTGGAGCAGCAAAGAAAGAGGAAATGGAATGTTGCGAAGGGAGTTATATGGTCTCCTTACTGTTTTTTGATTGGTTGTTTACTCTCTGGTGTTTTGCTGCTGTGGAGTTCTAGTAAAGAGATACTTAAGCAAATATGAAGCCTCCTGTCATGTTATAAAATTTGAACTTTAATCACATACTTTCTCCCTTGGCTCTACTGACCTTTATGCCTTTTGCAAAATCATTGAGGGACGTCACTTCTTTTCACGGTTCCAATTCAATGCCCCTCATAAAGGAGCATTGAGGACTGATGCCCATGCACGGTAAGTGAAGCACATGTATCTAATGCTTCTCATAGTAAAGCATTGAATCCAATGCTTTCCTGTGAACTGCAATATCACGGGACTGAGTTTTACTCAGTCAGTGCAGTTTACCACTGCATCCAGACTGCTTCTGTTCTAATAAAGTCCTAATAAAATAAATATTAATAATTACATTTAAAAATGATCTTTACATTGTAGCAATAACAGAGGTAGCAAATACAGATATTTCATTTTCAGTGATGTTTCTCAAGGTCTATAAAATATGGTCCCTGAGAGACATCAATGTTTATATTTGTCAATCAGAATGCTTTTAGTGGATGTAAATCAGACATTCTTAATGTTCAGTGTCACCAACCATTTGAAATGCTTCTCACAGATAAGCAACTGGATTCAGTCAGGGCCGGATTAAGAGCACACTGGGCCTGGTGCTGACAAATATGATGGGCCTAATTACGGAATCTTATCGACCAAAAACACTAAAACAGTCCTACCTCCCAAGCGTCATGTATCTGATGGAGATGGTGCTGGAGGGAAGCTCATAGGATGCAGCTATAAGAAAACACATACTCTATGCTAATCTCTCTCTAATTTATGCTTTCATCTTTCAAGTAAATCCATAACCCCTAACAGCAGTGTCCAGTGAAGCAGGAAGTCAATGTGCAGGGTAAAAGAGTGTGCCACTGGTGCGAATCACGTGACCAGGCCTGCCAAAAGGCCAAAAAGGGGCATGTCTGTCCAAAGAATTTGAAGGACAAACTGGCATGAATGCATGTCAGGCTGCCTGCCAATCCTGCAGGCTGTCCAACTAAGGGCATACTATGAAGGCAGCACCATGAGCTTGACATAAATGCATCTAATGATGCGCTCACTCCATGCTTTCTAAGGACTGTCCCCTAGCACTCGCTGGTCCACTTGTCTCCTTGCCTTCTTACTAGCAGGCAGAAGTTCCTGGTATAGTCTGAGACAGAGAAAAGGTGTATGTAGTGAGTGTAGAAGAAAGGGCACATGCCACAGTGTTAGAGATACCAGCGTCTGCATTACCTAAACTAATTTTATTGTCAGCTAGTCCACATAAGTTTTGTTCCCATACATCCCTCTTAAGCTTCCAAACTTAAAGGGACACTATAGTCACCAGAACAACTACAGCTTATTGTATTTGTTCTGGTAAGTAGAATCATTCCATTCAGGCCTTTTGCAGTAAACACTGTCTTTTCAGAGAAAATAACTCCACTGGCCACTCCTTAGATGGCTGCTAGAGGTGCTTCCTGGGGCAGTACTGCCTAATGTGCAGCACTGCCATTCAGTGTCTCCACCCTCTGCATGCAGACACTGAACTTTCCTCATAGAGATTCATTGATTCAACGTATCTTTATGAGGAGATGCTGATTGGCCAGGGCTATGTTGGACTTGTGCTGGCTCTGCCCCTGATCTGCCTAGTTGACAGTCTCAGCCAATCCTATGAGGAAGTATTGTAATTTGCTCAGACCACCACTTCTGATGATGTCAGCAGACAGTCAAGTCAGAGGCAGAGACAGTCAAGTCAGAGGCAGAGCCAGCAGTTACTATACTTAGTGGGGCAAGAAGGGGCCAGGGTGGTGGTTTTAACATAATAGGGTCAGATATACATGATTGTGTTCCTGAGCCTATAGTGCTCCTTTAAGCAAGAGTATGTGAAGAGTAGTTAGGGTTGCCACCTTTCTTGGAAAAAAATACCAGCCTTAATCATTTGTATAATCACAAGAAGTGACATCAGAGAAAATTCTGTAAAATCACCAACAAACTACTCACAGTTTGATTCTGCTGTATAGATGGATTGCTCCCAGTGTCTCAGTCTCGCAAGTCACCCAGTGTCTCAGTGTCCCTATGTATCACAGTGTCAGTGTCCCTATGTCGCCCAGTCCCCTAGTCTCCCAGTGTCTCAGTGTCCCCATTTTTCCCAGTGTCCCAATGTCTCAGTATGTCCCCATGTCACTAGGATACTGGGGACACAGTGAGACATAGGGACACAGGGACATGGGGACACAGAGAACGGGGGACACAGAGAACGGGGGACACAGAGACCTGGGGACACAGAGACATGGGGACACTGGGAGACATGGGGACACTGAGACATTTAGGGAAACTGGGAGAAATGGGGACACTGAGACACTAGGGACACAGACAATGGGAGACACGGGGACACTGAAACATTTGGGGACACTAAAACAATAGGGACACAGAGACATGGGAACACAGACACTGGGAGACTAGGGGACACTGGGAGACATGGGGACACTGGCTGGGAGACAGACACTTGGGGACACTGGGAAACATGGGGACAGTTGTGGACATAGACATGGGGACACTGGGACATATAGGGACACTGGGAGACATGGGGACACTAGGCACACTGAAACACTAGGAACACAGACATTGGGAGACATGGGGACACTGAACAATTTGGGGACACTAAGACCCTAGGGACACAGAGACATGGGGACACTGGGAGACTATGGGACACAGACACTGGGAGACTTGGGGACAGTTGTGGACATAGACATGGGGACACTGGGACATATAGGGACACTGGGACACATGGGGACACTAGGGACTCTGAGAGACATGGGACACAGACACTGGGAGAATTGGGGACACTGAGACACTAGCGACACTGGATGGGGTATATGGGGACGCTGGGAGAAACGGGGACATAGAAATGTCCTAATGTCTCAGTGTCTCCCAATGTCCCTATGTCTCACAGCATCCCCATGTGTCTCAGTGTCCCCTAGTGTCTCAGTGTCCCCAAGTGTCTCAGTGTCTCCCAACCAATGTCCCTATGTCTCACAGCATCCCCATGTGTCTCGGCATCCCCATGTGTCCCAGTGTCCCCAAGTGTCTCAGTGTTTCCAGGTCTCCCAGTGTCCAAGTGTCCATGTCCCCATGTGTCCCAGTGTCTCAGTGTCCCGTAGTGTCTGTGTCCCCATGTGTCTCCTAGTGTCTCAGTGTCCATATGTGTCCCCTAGTGTCTCAGTGTCCCCATGTGTCCCTGCTGCCTTTCCCCCCATCCCTCACTTACCTGAGCTGTAGAGCGGCTGTCTGGACTCTGTGCTGTGTTGCTGCTCCCCCACGGATCAGTAAGTAGTAGAGAGAGGCAGGGATATGCTGTAACTTCCTATCCCTGCCTCTCTCCAAACACAGTGACCCCTACTGGCTGGTGCTGGTATTGCAGTGTAATCTCCATTTATTCTGAGAAAAATACCTGCATTTGTATTGCCGGTATTACTGCAATACCGGCACGACCAGGCAGCTTTAAATACCGGTTGTGCCAGTAAAATACCAGTCAGGTGGCAAACCTAAGAGTAGGGTGTAAAAAAAAAAAAAATTTTTTTAAATGGGCCTATTCCATGGGCCTGAGCCTGGAGCTGCAGCTCCATCAGCCCCTATGTTAATCCGGCCCTGGATTCAGTGCCTCTCTACGAGAAGCGTTCAAGTGACTGTGTGCTGTGATTGCTGTGCATATCCAGTTGGTCCCCAGTGCTCTCCTAGGAGAAGCATTGACGTGGTTCAGAGGCCGACCGACAGGATGATCTAAAAAGAGGAGTAGTGGTTGCTGAACTGTCTGATGCTGGATTATTGGTGAATACAAATTATGTATTTTTAGCCAAAATAACAAAAAAAATGTGAGGGCAGGGCGGATGGATGCACTGCATTACAGCTCCTGAAATTTTTCTTCTTACTGGCTACCTACCAATGCAAATCTCCTCAAAGTTTACCTCCCAGCTGGGGTCCTCTACTTTACAGACTGCTGGTGCCTTATCTGAGCATATTACACCTGTGTCTGCCCTATCTGTGCAGAGACTGCAGATCTCACAATTGTGACCTAGCCCAGATAGCAGATAAATTGAAGAACACCAGTCCTGCGAGCCTTCAGGAATTTTTATTCTAG